TGTCTGGTCACACCCTGCACCTGATGAGCACAGTCTGTCCTATTGTCTTATTAAATTCCTTTCCTTAAATTCAAGACCATGCGTCCGTGGTGCCGGCAGCTGGCACCAGTGTGCAAGCGGGTGTGCAAGCAAAGATCAGGCCAGATGAGCTGGCAAATAAGTGAGGTGGCCTTGGAGCCTGGGGGTGAGCCCGGCTGCACGCCAGCATTGGGACTGCATTATTTTGTTATCAGCTCCTTACCGACTGTCGTGGTTTAACTCTATCCCAGCCAAAACCAGCACACTGGCACATTTATTTTCCACATGGAGTAGCATTAGCAGGATGGAATCAGCTCATAGTAAACACCCGAAAGGTCAGAGAACAACAAATGTCCTCTCCAGAGATGTAGGAATTTCCTCGTTGTTTTCAAATTGTTTTGTCTATAGTCCCCTTCCTGTATCTGATGAGATCCCCAAAGGGGGCAGAGGTGGGATGTACTGAGCAAGGACAGGAACAGCTCCTTCCCACTTCACGTTTAAGAAAAGGACGGGTCTTGCCAATCTCATTGACCGTGCAGTGGGAGGAGAAGGGAGTTGCAAACACCACTAATAACGTACAGTAGCATTTTTATAGATCTATGCGAGTTAGGCATGCATGGGGTCACCTGCCTTTCCGGGGCTGCAGGAGGTTGTGCATTCAAGCCCTGTGTCTTCTGTACAGTTTCTGGGGATTAAAAAAAGCTGTCTGTGTGTGTTTGGATTCAACCCACCGACTGTAACACGGCTGGAGCATGGGTACATACAGCTGAGCCAGGATCCCCTGCAGCACCAAACCAGCTCCCTGCTTTAACCCAAATCATTGCCTAAGCCCAGAAATTTTGGACTCTGCCTGCTGGCTGGGAATAGGTCTCCCCTCCTGCAAGGGGATGGCTGTCCGGGCTGCAGTGCTTGAGCCTCGGTGAGGGGGGGTAAGCTCCTGGCATCCTGACGGTCCTCTTCGAGCCCCATGGGCTGATGGTATTCCCCAACCTCTGCAAAGATGCAGGGAGGCTATAAGGAATGGGATGGGGTGATGGGAAAGGGCTAGAAAACTAAAGTGGGGCATGAGAAAACAACCTCAATCCTTACGGGCTACAGCCACTGCGACCTTATGAGCCCCCAAACATCTCTGGTTTATCCACTGGATCCAATGCAGGATAAAACTTTGCTCTACAAGCTCTGCTTTGCCTTTTTTTTTTTCCCCTTCAATAATTCAGGGCTCTGACAAAATCAGTCTTTACAGAAGTTAAATCACAGCCTTACCTGTGCAGAGGACAGTGAATCGATTTTAACGCTGATGCTAACCTTGGACTTTGGAGATTATGTATGACCGAGGAATGAATCTCAAACATTTTCACGTGTGTCCAAACATCAAAGCCAGATTCGGCTTTGTTCTGCAAAGGACAGGGTTATGTTGTAACTGGATGTTGAGGGCAAACTATCCCGTTATTGCCAGACAGGGCATTAGCCCAGACCTTGCGGTGGTGGAAGTTCAGGCAGAAACTGTCAAGCAGCTGTGGCAGAGCCAAGGAAAACCAAACTACCTGTAACTGCACAAGGCTTGACTCTGACGGTTAATATTCCCATTAACAATTCCAGCACCTTTTCATGACCTCCATGTTCCCTCTATGGCTCTCACCTCTTTTTTGTCATGCGCGGGTTCATTTCTTTGCTCTGCTACCAAGAATTAAGCTGGAGCTCTTCCCACATCCCAGCCAATGGCTTGATCTTTGGAAGCTCCAAACCATGCCCAGGAATGCCTCGGGATAGCTGAGCCAGGTCAGAGCCGTAGTGACTTGCTGGCCAAGAGATGTCCTCACTCCAAGGCTCTAGCAAGAGGATTTTTTCTGTGGATGTTTCGCATGAAGGTTGTTCGCTGTTAATGCACAGTGTATGTTTGCGGTTATCACCTGTAGGGACTCCAGGTCAGAGTTGAGGGGTGAGGGACAGGTGCTGCACAAACATGGACTGGGCTCAGGAAAAGGATATAAAAATAAGGACAATGACAATGATTCAGCAGAAAAATCTGGCCTTACTTCCTTGTCAGAATGGTTTATTTAACCAAACAGTATTGAGTCTATAAAAGACATCAGACATGCTCAAATGCATGCAGTTGTGAGAAGCAAAAAAAAAAAAAAATTAAAAAAAAAAAAAAATCACTTAATTTGAGTCATATACGGAAGAGTGTGAAAGCTCAAAATGAGTTAATCTGCAATTAAGTTTATGCTTAGATGGGTTGTCCCCTGGCACTGAGCTTTCCATCCCAAATGTACCAGCAAGAGTAAAGAACTAGCCTGTGCCAACAGAAGCCTTACTGGATTTGTAAAAGAAGTTAAATTGGAAGGAATCCAGAGTCTTGAAAAGTTTACTGGGGGCAGACCTCATGGCAGTGTCTTTCTCGTGTACTCCTCTATCCCCCAAGAGAACGGAGCATGGAGTCTGGCCCTAAACCCTTGGTTTTCTCTTCTCTAGTGCATAGTGAAGACAATATTACTTTGACATCCAAAGCTTTACAATCTACTGAGTCAGTGTCTGTTCTCCACAGCACAGTGAAAGCCCCTCTGCTCTCCATTACAATTCCTGCTCTACACGCTGTGCAAGGGAAGGAGTCATGATACTGCACGCTTCAGGTTTGGAACAATATGGGTTAAACATGTTGGAAAAGACCACCCCTGGTTAAACAGCGTCACTTCTAGTATTAAGCTGTAATGGATTAGGAACTGTTTTCCCGCTCTCGTTCCTCTAAGCACAGCCAGATATGGCTCTGAGAAAGCCTCCGTTTACTGCTGCTTGTAAGGAAAACTGAAGAAACTCAGCGGAACCAACAGATACATCATACACTTCAGAGAAACTCAAAGGAACACTGAGGTTAGAAGTACAAAGCAATGACACAGCTAACACCATCCATTGCAAAGGAAAGCAGATTCCAAAGGAGAAGGAGGAACATGAAAGTTCAGGGGTTTTTTTAAGAATGAAAACACACAGCATTTGCCGGTGATGCTGCTGCCACATCTCCTGGTAGATGTGCCCGTACGCTCCCCAGAGAAGAGCAGCCTGGCTTCAAAGTGGCAAAGTCTCTTAGTGGTAAAACATCGGCATGTGACAAGGTTGTGGTCACTATTGCGTTTGCTGCCTTTACTGTCCGGTGGCCAAGTTATTCCCACAAGTCATAAAAGATGCAGAAATACCCTGTTCCAAGCAGCACACACTGATACAAATGCGGTGGAGCCAGGCAGAACGGGGGAGTGTTTTTGATGAGGAGCAAAGCAAGGCTGTGATGAACCACTCATACCACACCTCTCGGCTTGAGTGTGCTCAGAAAAGGCTTTCTGCACCAGCCTGTTTTAGCCCCGCTTGTGGGGCAAGCTATACAACCAAATGCTCCGTGTGCCAGCATCCTGGCCATAGGGAACATCTTTCCTAGAGATGCCCATACAGCAAGTCACAGCTTGGTTTTTTCAAGAGTTGTTTTGTTATGTTTGTTCTTTAACACGTTTTTAAGATAATTGATGCGGATACATTCAGACAGGTGAGGGGTAACTGTAAGATCCTATGTGATGGGTAACTGTCATCTAGGTCTAATGGGAGACTTCAGATACATGCCCCAAAACCCAAGTTTTGTGGTGTTTTCAAACCTTGAAACCTTTGAGGAGCTTGGTCAGCTCTGCAGATGTGGCAGTGCAGATGCCCATGGAGAGCTAGTGACCCTCCATGGAGCCACACAGCTCATTGAGCGGTGGACTGGGCTCTAAGAGAGCAGGAGCTGGGCTGCCCAAGTGGAGCAGCATACGCAGGGTCAACATGGGCTGCAGGGAGAACAGTAACTCTTCTCAAAGCTAAGCAAGCTATGGCCTCCTGCAGGAATAGGATGTGCAATTTATCAGTTACTGGAAAACCCCATTGCTGTTACTCTTCCCATATACACCTTGTGGTACAGAGTTGAGCTATGAGGCTGCTTTCACGGGGACTCTCGTTGTTTCTTGTGACTTGGGCTGGAAGGAGCTTCCTCACAGAGTATGAAAAGCCCTGGTTAAAAAATCTCCTCTGTGGTACCACTGTCACACATGTAACACACACCTCCTTCCTTTGCAGCCTCTTGTTGCTCCACAGCTAGAAGAACCCTCCTCTAGCCCCGTGCTTAATCTTGGGTCAAGAACTTGGCCAGGTAAGCGACGTGCTGAGCCTGGCTGCCAATGGATGCTGGCAGAGTCCCACCACTCCGGCCTTGTGTCTGGCACTTGGCAAAGACATAGGACCACAGGACAAGTCAGGTTGGGAGGGAGCGTGGGAGGTCTCTAAACTAACCTTCTGCTCAAAGCAAGGTCAGCTGTCGGCTCAGGCCAGGTTGCTCAGGGCTTTATCTAGTCAGACCTCTACACCCAAAGCCTGGAGATACATTGCTGTCTAATATCAGCTCCCCAAAAGTGCTTCACACTTCCCTATTTTCCCTTCATAACTGGTCATTGAATTCTTTTGGACTGGAGGCAGGTGAGAAACCCACCAGTCACTCAGACCTTGCTGCGGTGGTCACTGTGGGATGAGCAGTGCAGTAACATCTGGAAGTGTGTCTGGTTATCACGTCCTGGGGCCAGGGGCAGAGAACAGTGCCCGGCATTTGCATGCATGGAGTCTTTCTGACCTCAGGGAAGGATTTGCAAAAATGCTTGGGGCTGGTAGCTAGTCCTGTTCAGAAATGGCTACGCAAATCTCTCCTGGTTCTTCCAGGAAGGGTGCAGCCAAGTGACACACATACTGTCAAGTTACCGTTAGTCAGCTGAGCCATGTTAGGTCTATATTTCTGTTCTTACCTTGTGGCAATGCACATAATATGGATTAATTTGCTCAGTTACGCTAAATTGCATTCAGGGAGAACAGTTACCCCAGCTCAGCTGATGCACAGCAACTTGGCAGGACTATTTGGTACCAAAAACTCAGTGCAGACGGGGCGAGGGAGACAAATCATGTCTGTCGCCGCATCCACGTCACTGTGCAATCATGAGGCCGTACTTGGAGCACAGCAGGCCCCTTTTCTTTTCCCGTTCGGTGAGGAAATTCCTCAGTTTGGTGGTGGGGAAGGTAACCAGGGCTTGCTGCCTGTTGTCTAAACCTGTCTCCTGGAGCCACGGGCTCTGAAGGCACTCCGAGGCTGACGGCCTTCCCCTAGAACAGACAAAGGTGAGAAGATCAGTCGGGGATCCGTGCTGGTGAGGAGGATCCCTGCAAATGGAGAGAAAAAAGGGGCAATAGCCACGATCTGCATCAACTGTGCTATTGGGAGAGCAGACACCATCTTACCAGGGGTTTGCACACAGCGTACTCTGGAGAAAGGACACCGCTCCCCCGGAGAGACCCGCGTAGCACCGTGTGAGCTTCACTTTACCCCTCCTGGTTGTTCTCAGAAACTCGCAGGCTACGTCGGAGCTGATGGGGTAGTTGGCACTCAACCTGCCCCAAAAGAAGAGAATTGATCAGTGTGAAGGGCATCGCTCAGGTTGATCCTTCACCCAGGAATTCCCACTCAGCAGTGAGAGGAGGGTCACGACGGTGCACAGAAATATCATATGGGAAAACAAAACCTCAAAGGCCGCTATTCTTCAGCGGGTTTCATGACTTTGGCTGCTTTTCCACTTGGTGTAATTTGAATTTTCTTGGTAAAGTTGGGGCTTTTCAGATGAGGCTGAGTGAGAAACACCAGCAGCTGCCTCCTTACTCTATGTGGAGACATCGCTGGGACTGGGCATCCTTGGATGGTGCAGCCAGCTCCGTACCATCCATCCCACAGCCTTTTGCAACATTGCCGAGGGGAGGGGGCACAAATGAGGTTAACTCTCTGAGTCAATGCATCTCCCCTGGTTGATGACTCTGAAATTGTACTTCTAAAGCTGCTCGTAGGGCAGGGAATGGCAGACTGACTTACATGATGAAAGCCGTGATTCCGACGGACCAGATATCAGTTTGCGGGAGGGCTCCTTGCTCTGTCAGCAGTTCTGGAGCTAGAAAAGCAAACTGGTGTGAGCCAAGCTCCCCTCCAATGCACTGAGACCAGCACAAAAGTAGTGGGTACTTTCCTGCTTTGCTACCTTCCCAAGAGTGAAGAAGAAAAAGCTTCTAGTACAGGGAGCTGGTTGAGGTAAGACACCCCCGTGGGTGATGACTGCAATGAAACCTGGAGAACATCAGGCCAAATGGCAATAATACTATATCCCTGAGCTCTGGACACGTGGATGCCAGGCAGAGTGGTGTTGGCCATGACCTCTGGCTTTGTCCTTTGTGGTCTGCAAGTGGGACGGCTGCCACCACTGGCTGTTCCCGCAAACTCACACTGTTACTGTAAAGGGGACACTTTGCTTGCTGGGGCCAACTGCTGCCTTGACCAATGGCTCTGTCTGTCTTTCTGTTTACCACACATTGCATACAAAGCCAAGGTTGCTGTGGCTGAACTCTGTACTCACCCATGGTTTCAACATAGTCCATGCACTTGTCCATGGTAATAACTTTGTCTTGTGTGTAGAACTGTGCATTGCCAAAATCCAGGAGTTTCAGCAGGTTGGGCTCAGTGATGATCATGTTTTCAGACCTGAGATCCAAGTGCAGGATGTTGTGTGCGTGGAGGTACTCCGTGGCACTGAGGATCTGCCACAAGTAGTCTCGAACCTCCACTTCGGAGTATGATGTCCTGGTAGAAGAAAGGGAATAGAAACCAGAGGTGTCCTTTCTGCATGCCCAAGAGTGCCATTCAATACCCACTGTCATCCTCCCCTGGATGTCTAATCCCATGAGGCCCTTGAGAGTCAAGAAGAAGCAACCCTATTCATTTAGCAAATCTATTGTATATGGAGAGGCTGGTCCATACTGTGAGTCAGGTTTACAGATGCAAGAAGTTCAGGAGGTTGTAGAGCTGCACGGCAGAGAAAGCAGTGGTTGTGCAGAAATCAAAATGCAGATTTGATGCCCACCGTTCCCTCTCTTTTAATCAGAGGATTTCAGCAGATCCATTTTCTGCCATTGTGAGAAACTATGTGGAGGAGAAATGAGGCTTCCTGAACCACAATAATCTCCTTGTTATGGGAGAGAGGGTTTCATATCAACACCTGTAGACTGCTTTCAACATCTCAACTGGGTGGCCCTGAATTGTCCCCTACCCCAACCTTGTAGGGAACTTAAGTAATTTCACTACGTCACATGAAGTTGCAGAACTAGCGCATCGCAAATCCCACGTGCAATGACAGCACGCTGGCCCAGATGGAGAGAAATGATCCAGTTTGTCAGGGGAAAGCAATAGGTGTTTTGCTCCCTAGAGCAGCCCTGACTGGAAACCCCTTCCCTCCACTTGTTATTACCGTAATGCCAAAGAGTGGAGTAGCTCTGGTCCCACGCACATCTCCTGGATCAGCACTAAGTGCCGTGGGCTGACGTAGGCTCCCTTCAGCTGAGCTATGTTTGTGTGATGAAGCTTCCTCAGGACTTGGTACTCCAGGAGCACAGTTTGCTTGTCCTCTTGCCAGTAAGGGATAATTTTAGCAGCTAAAGTCTTGCCGCTTACTTTTTCCCTGCACTGTCGGACGATGCTGAAACGACCCCTGGTACAAAGGAACACAAAGGCACGTTAAGCTTCTCTGCTACTCCTGGAAGAGCCAGAAGCTTCTGTTCTTTAAAACCACCAGGATCCCATGCTGTGTTTTTCATCCATGCCCGATGTGGAGTTAATGCATCTATTGTCACAGTTTGCACATCCTCCTGTGTCTCTAAATTGTACAGTCACTTTAAACTGCAGGAGCGAGAGCTTAACTCCTTTGGGGAGAGAGAAGGCGGCTCATCCTGTCTCGAGCAAGAGAACTACCACCCCGTTGGCAACAGAAGTCGGTGCCTGTCTTGTAGGCAGAGAAAGTGGGATCCCAACCCCCTGCCTGTAACTGGTAGCTGCAAAAGGTGATGAAGCGATGAGAGGAGCCTTTGTGAGCCCTCGGCTCACTTCACAATATACTAAGGGGCTGTCCTGGTGCCCAGCACAGACCCTTTTGCTCTCCCAGAAAATCCACACCTGAATCCTACCAAACCAAGTGAAGATCACTCAGCCAGTGATCTCAGGTTTATATGTATTGCTGTGGAGGCGATTTCAACAAAACACCGTGATGTTGCATGAGCAGTGCATTTATAAAAGTGACTTTTCTAAACTCCAGCCACACGCGGTATTTCCCTCTGTCTGGTTGAGTGCTCTGGTGGATTCATTACCTTTTGATCTCTGTTTGGAAGGCGTAGGTCTGGTAGGTTGGGAAAGGCTCGGATGGTGTGATTATTTCGCTCTCTTCTTCAGTAGCAGCTGATGGGAAGTTCTGCATTGCAGCATGAAGCTCTGCAGAGAAAAAGCAACAGGGATTACATGGGAAAACACCTCTGTCTGGAAACCGGAGCCTCTCTGAGCCACCCTTCGCTGTCTATGAACAACGAGAAAGGTGACAGCAGAGCTTTCTCCAGACAAGTCTGCAGGTTGTCTCCCAGCTGTGGCACCCAAGGCTGTTTGAATGCAACAGATTCTGGACTGTCCGCCCAGTAATTCCCTGGTGTGACCACTCCAGACTCCGAGGAGGATTGTATGTTGTGTGCTGTGATATCAGTCGTCTCAGCCACTGGTTCTCACCTTCTCACATAACAAGTCATCAGGACATGGTAAGACGCTGACAAAGAATTAGAAACTTCTTTTAGTTGGGTATTTCAGGGCAGCAGCTGGAACTTGTTGCTCTGGTTGTGGCATGTTGTTGGTTCTGAGTGCTCCCTGAAATATTAAAGCATGCCTTGACACATTAAAGCATCTGCTTGGAAATGCTGGGCACAGTGAGATATGTTAATGAATCCCAGGCCAAGGGAAAGCAGAGGATTTAGGGTGAGTTAAAAATATCTCTGTGAACTGATTTTTACAGAATAATCTTCTCCACTGGGAGGAAATTCCAGTTAGACCATCCTTCCACTTCTTGGCAGAAAGGATATATTTGTTGTGTGGTTATGGATTTCTTAATTTTAAAAACATGTGAATAGTACAAAGTATTCTGACAGGTGAAGAAAATAGTAAATCGAGCTTTCTTTACTTCAGAGACAAAATACAGCTGAAAAATGCACCACAGTAGGGCGATAATTCCCAGTAGCAAACACCAGAACACATTAATTAACTACTGAACTTAGGACTGAGTCCATAACAAAGAGCACGTCCAGGGCTTTCACCAGTGGCAGATCTATACCAACAGATCGATGCCTCCAGTGACACATTAATTGTCCCAGACCTGTTTCCTCATGATCTCACATCAAAAACTGAGTGTGTTGTCAGTGGATAATCTACAGTTTCCAGATTTTTTATTATTACATTTTTATATATATTTACATATTATTTATATTTACATATTGTTATTATTTTATTATGTATTTGTTCTATATTTACACATATTCCCCTAACTGTGTCCAGAATTAGAAAATAATTTACTTTTGAATAAGAACGCCAAAGAGGAGGAAGCCCTAAACCACCCTGAGCCAAGTGGAATTGGTCTTGATTCACTTGCTCTTGACTTCTGGACCTGCATCCAAAAGGGTGCAATTGTTTTGATGCAGGAAAAACACAATGCTTTCTTGGCATTTGATCTTACCCATTTGATCCTTGCCAGTGATTTTTACTTTGGCAGATGGGTCGCTGTAAGGGCCCATTCCTGCTTTACTGGTGCAGGCTATCCTGAAGCAGTAGATAAACCCCTTGGAGAGATTTTTGGCATAGTAGCAGCAGTCAGCGATGTCAGAAGCAAGAGTCGTCCACTCCCCATCTTCACCGAGGAAAGACAGAAAAGAGATTAGAACTCATTTAAGATGGTCGCACTGGGCGTGAGGGTGTTGAGTTTTGGGGTTTTGTTGTGGGGGTTTTTTTGTCAGCTTTACTTATGTGCTGGGAATATGGAGAAACAGCAGAATCTCATAGAGTGAGGGGAAAACTGACTTGCTATGGCCAACTTTAGTGCCCGGTGCTGCTCGCTGTACATGTGCCAAAGTCATCTTCTCTGACATCAGCTGGTTTATATCTAATCAGTCCAAGGTATGGCAGTACTGTTTCAGAAGAATGGTGGAACTTTCCCATGTAGTTTCTGTTTATCTAATTCATGCCACCAATCTTCTAAAGCAAATATACACTAAGAAAGAACTCCAAACAAAAGCCTAGAAAAATCACTGTTTTTTCTCTTTTGGCCCTGTCATGGCTCCAGTTGAAACCATAAGGTGCAGGATTTCAGAACAGAACTATACACTAACACCCTCCTAGCAAACCCACTGTTTGAAACTTGGGCAGGTTTACTCAGCTTTTATGATAATTTCTCAGGGAACTGAAATTGTAGGTGTGTTATGGACTCATTATTCATGGGACTAAGGTGTGAAGTAGAAAATCAGCAGCAAACATTTAGTGATCATTCATTTTACAAGATGCTCTATCCCATACTTTGCCATTGTTGCTGTGCTCAAGGTTAAACACAACTCCCTGAGACTGCCTGAGATTAAATCCATCCTTTCATTCAGATAAACACTGGTAGAGAGCCTCAAACCATAGGAAAACCAATAATTCACCACCCAAAACAAAGGTATCAATGGCTTTGTGGGGTACAGGTTGAATTAAGGTGTGTGTATGTGTAAGAAGGAGCAGGTATAGCTTAGAAACAGAGAAAAGTGTCTGCAGAAGCAGTGTGCAAAAGCCTACTGTCAAATAACGGATAAACCAAGGAATTTTTTTCTGATGATCTTAATCCTCCTGTGTTCAGGAAAGCAGGACTTTGCATGTTCCTGCCAAATACACAGAATGCAGTGGAAGATTGTAGATGCTGTTTCCTGTTTTTCTTCCTAATTGGAACAACTTGTGTTTGTATCCTCCCCAAAGTCTTGCCTACGGTTTTGTCAAAACGAATAACAATAAAGAAAGTTGTGTTGGAGGAAAGGTGACTGACACCAGCTCCAGAGTGAAAAGGCAGAAAGCTGCTGCCCATGCTCATCCAGAAAGGAGTGCATGTGTGTTTGGAGAATTAAAAGAAGGAACATAGAGCAGTTGAATCCAAAGGGATGTGCATGTGTGACTGCAGTAGAAATTACTATCATACATAGCATTCATAGTAATAACAGCAAAAGCAGTCCCAAGAGAGATGGGCTCGGGGATTTGATTCAAAGCTCGTGCAATTAAACAAGAAAACATCCACTGATTTCATCAGGCTCTGGACCAAGCCTTGGAAGAGAACATCAAAGGGATGATGCAGTTTTGCCAAACTTTTGGCATCCTGTCCTGGCTGTTTGCCCTAAGCTTCCTGCATAATCAATGGAAAAAGAAAGCATGGCTGTTTAGCGTAGGATGAATTACCTTTTTGATAGATCATCCTTCCCCACAGACTGTACAGAAAGCCTGGGTATAGGATGATATTGTCTGCTGATGGGTGTTGCTGGGCATTATTAGTGTATAATGTTGTCAGAACTGTAATTTGAGAGACTTACTCAGGACTGCGTATCTGGCACCAGCCATCCATATTCTTCTGTAGCTGTTCACTTTTTGGTCACAGCTTCCATGCGACCTAGTTTGATTCACACTTTAAGAAAGCCTTTGTATGATTATGCATATTCCAGGCTGATTCAGCCAGCACAACATCTAACTTTTAGACGGCTAAATGATAGCTGTATGAATTTCATTCCTAACTCTAAACTAGGGACCTAAAATCAGGCTGTTTCTGCATAAAAATAAAATATCCAGCTGGTGAAGAGATCACACAAATCGAGATGTTCCCTGCAAGGCGGAAGGGCAGCATTCCACACTTTACCTTCGCTCTTGCACTGGACAGTGTAATGGACGGGGGTGTTGGTTTCCACAGGTTTCCAGACCACCTGCACTCCATCCTCGTAGACCTCCACGATGTCAGGGGGTGGAGGGCTGGGAGGAAGCTCTGTCGGGAGGAGACACAAAAACCAGTGACTGTTAGCAATAGTACTGCTGTGATACGTACCTCTACACTCAGCATTTCTCAGTTACGGATATTGTTTTTATACATATATATAAAAATGTATATGGGTTTTATATATATAAAAATAAATAAATATATATATACACACACCCCCCTAGTGGAACAGCAATTTAACCATGCCTAATTTAAACTCAGTGTTAAGATTTTGAAGTCTTGTTCTAGAACCACATGGTTACTGGAGTGGCTCTGAATCCAGGAGAGAGACTAAATAGTGAAGAAAAGGGAATAAACCCTGCAAAATACACCACGCTACCAGACAGCAAGGGCTGTGGCTGTGGACCAGAGCAGGCAAGGGAGAGGTTGTCCTCTGAACCTATCTGCAGAAATCTCACCTCACAGGTATTTACAGCTCACATTTTTGGGCAGAAGTACTTGTAATACCTACTTCTGTAACGGCTACTTCTCTTACCTGCTTTTCTTATGACGCAAGAGGTGGATGCTGAGCCCAGGGAGTTTGTGGCCACGCAGGTGTAAATACCAAAATCATCAGCATTAACAGAGAGAATAGTTAATAGCTGGAAGTTTTTGAGCGTGGCTGAGATAAGGATCCGGCTGCTGCTGTGGACAGCTATCCCATCTGAAAAGCAGAAGATAGGAGAGATAAGTACCCTGCAAATTTATACCAAGGTGTCTAAAACCCCCCTTGCACCCCCGTCCCAAAAATTAGGGACTCCCCAGAGGGATGTCACCTCGGAACCAGTTGATGTGCAGGGAGGAGTGAGCGGCCGTCCGGCACGACAGCGTCACGCACTGTCCGATGGCAGCAGCCTGATCGATGAGCTCCTCAGTGAACGAAGGTGCTGCAAAGAAGAGGAGAAGCAGTGATTCAGAGTGGCCAGGGGGGGGGGCTATGTGAAAAATAAGTGCATGCAGGTCATCAGAAAGCATTTTTAATCGGTTCAAGAAAACTTCTGCTTCATTCTCTGGCATTCCTTTGACCACCGGTTGGAGAATCCCCCGGGCGTTGAGCACACAGGTGCAGGAGCCCTGTTCAGCCCCATGGATGCAGTGTGACTGCTCATACATGGTAATCCAGATGGATCTTGGAAGGTCCATGGGGAACACCTGCATTGCCCAGCTCTGCTGGTACAGCTAAGGCAGCAGAACAGCTCAGAGGAGAGAGAGAACATGTCACAGCAAGAGTTTTCCTCTGGCCTAGCTTAAATGTGGGGGGGAAACTAAATGATGGTATTTCAAGGATGAGGGGGTGAGATCAAGACAACACAAGAAGAGAGAAGAAAAGATAAAAGATATCGAAAGAGGAAAAAAATCACAGAGCCTCAAATCTGCTGCTGTCTCCATGGGAAAGGGGGAGCTCAGGTTTTCTTCTGTGTTTCTCCAGTTTTTTTTCTCTGCAGTGCCCAGGAGCTGCCAGCCTCACACGCCTGCCCTTCCCAGTGCTTGGCTGGGCTCAGCTGAATACTGGGGCATTAACCTGACCTCAGAAAATGCTCCTGCTAGAGTCAAGGGAAAACTTGGCTGGGCAAAAGCAAGTTCAGCTTTGCTGGCACGCCCCACCATTTCTCATTTCACAGCTCTATAGCAGCACGTCTGGCCCTTACGCATGCATGCAGGATTGAAGCGCAGGAATTCACAATTCCTTGCTTCTGCCATCCCACCCTTGGATACTCCATTTATTCTCTTTCTAGCTTACATGTAGATTTTATTCCTTTGCAGTGGCTTCCTTGAATGGCTCCAATTTGGAATCAATGCCAGGTCAAGACAGTTTTAGCAAGGACATAGTCATGATGCAAACAGAGGAACTGGCCTCACGCAGCACTGTCATATTTATTAGTGACACTTCATGATAAAACTACCTAACTGATGACTTATGCAATAGCAATACCTTTCTCCTTTGGCATGAGGCTTGAGAACTTGAATGAAGAGAGTGCTGATTTCCTCTTCAGAGATCCTTCAGCCCCTGTTAACAGCTCTTTTTCTACTGCCTCACTTCCCAGCTCACCAAACTCTGTTTTGAAGAAAGGATGGGAAGTCATTCAAGGCCATCCTTCTCCCTGTGGCATCCATTTACAGCAGACAGTTCTGCTGTTCGCACATAAATAGCTCAGCAGTCACAGTTTTCCTTATTAACGAGCCTTCAGTCAACAGGGAAGGCTGTGACCGCTATTACAAACAGAATGAAGTCCTGGAAGAATGGGGCATATCTAGGGATGGCAGAGAAGAAGGGACAGATTCTGTTGTTCAGTGTCATCAACTTAGGCAGCCAGGGTGACTTCATTAACTTCTCCCAGTCACTTTAGCTTCAAAGATTTGCCATGGTCAGATGATAACTGCAGAAGAAACTGCAGCAAAGCAAGCATCATCCAGCCCCGATCTGCTTTTGTGCAAACTTAGACAGGGGAATTTAAGCCACTTCCATCAGCAGATTAACCCAGCTGACTCTGCACTAAAGTGAGCCAGTAACAGCGAGCTAGTGGTGGAGCTGAAGACAGCTAGTTTCATAACCTGACATTGACAGTTTTGCAATGACAGCCTAACCACAGCCTCAGATATGCTGGGGAAAAAGGAAAAGGCAGATTTAGCAGAGCCCAGTTATGGCAGCAAATCTGTGAAGGCACAGAATAAAATATTTACCTTCTTCTGCCTCTGGCTCAGGAGATATCTTTCCTTTCAGGATTTTTGAAATATGGGCAACAGAAGCTTTTACTTTCTTCTTCAGACTCTGCTCCACTGACTGCTCCACTGAATGAGACCTTGCATATGGCTTAAAGAGCCCCGGCTTGTTGTAGAAGGAGCTTTTCTGCTTACCACTTGAGCCCTTTTGGGGGCCATACATTTCTTTATGACTCTCTGACCCTTTCCCCATGGCTAGTAAGTTAGTTGCCTTTGAATCCTCAGATATTTCCAAATGGTTCTTCCTGTTCTTGTCCTCTGCCTCTTCTCTGATGCACAGTCTTTTATCCTTATGCAAATGTCTTGCAGGAGGTGACCTTGCCCTTTCACCAAAAGGTATAAACCGTCTACCAGTTGGTTTGGGTGGAGGCTTCCTATAGTTCATAAATTCAAATGGAAAATAGACAATGTCATACAAGTCAGAGAAATTCAAATAGGCAGGCTCTACCTCTGATATGTCAAGTTTTGGAGTTCCACTGCCAAGACTGGGCGTTTCGTCCGACAGGTCTTTGATTTTCACTAAAGAAACTTCTGGGTGTTTACCAGTGTCCTTGCTCACCGTCACTTGACTGGGTCTTTTTCCAGTGTCCAGGCTTTCTGTTGAGGAAACACTCACTTGACTAGAAGTGGGGCTCTCAAACGCTAAGTCCTCCAGATGCTCACATTCATGAGGAACCGTCTGTACTCCCTGCCCTTCCAGTACCACTGACTCCTCACTCACAACAAGATAGGGTTCTGCAAGGTCATCCAGCTCAGAGACCTCTCTTTTACCCCCTTGTACCGAAGGGAAGGAGGTGTCCATGGGCGCTTGGGTACCTAAGCCTTTGTAGAACATCTCTGTGGGAGCAGAGATGGGCTTTCTGCATTCCTCCTCACCAGAGACTGACTCTGCCCAAACATTCATCTCTTCAGAGAGGGAAACCATCTCATCCACTAAGCCCTCCAGCACGGCAGACTCCTCATCGCTGTAAAAAGAAGACCTGTGATGTGAGAGCTCCTGACTTTGATCCTTGCCGAGTGATGGTGGGACAGTTTTTCCAGCATCCCAGCTTCCACTTTCTAAGGCAACACTTCTACCCTCACCATAAACCTTTGGATATTCCTCATATTCTAGCTCATAAACTGAAGCTGGAGCAGCTTCTGGTGGTGAAGCAGTTAAGACACCCGGAGGCCCGCTCTTCAGATCAGTAGAAACTCTGCCACCGGGATGTACAACCCTGTGCTGCTCAAACACCTGAGGTCCAGCCTTGGGGACGGGAGCAGGCATAGTCTGTCCAGCTGCTCGGCTTGCACTTGCTGTCACAACAGATCTGACCTCACTGCGAAGCGGTGCCTTTGAACGTTCTTGCTTTTCCTTCTCACAGGCCGAAGGGAGGCCAGTATTTTGGGAGGACACAGTTCTAGCTCGGTGTCTGCTCTCCCGAACAGCAGGCACCGTGCCACGGCCTTCAGAAACTTTCTGGGGTTCAGTGCCCTCGATTTCAGCCTCATGGGCCAAACTGGGAACAACCTCTGTGACAGCTGAGCTTTCATTCCTCAAAACAGCAAGCCTGTCCTTGCTACGAGCTGGCCATTCCCTTTCCGCCTTCTCTGCTCCATCGGAGACCAAGGTCGGCGTTGATTTTGGTGGTGGGACTTTTGGAATGAGATGCTCTCCCTTCAGGACGGCTGATTCTGTGTCTACGTGACCAGCAGCCCTCTTGCACGCTTGGCTTTCACCATCATGGGCTGATGGTGGAGTGATTCCTGTAATACCTGGTCCTTCATCCTCCAGGACAGCTGACTTCATCTCTTTATGGGTTTTCATCTTCTGATGAGCCCCTTCATCAGCTGTGTGCAGAGCAGTTAGGGTATCTGGCCGTATGCCCACCAAGGCAGTAGTTGCTGGAACAGTTTGACCAGAAAGTTCCTGACTTTTGTCTTTACATACTGGAAGGGAATCTGTTTCTGTTTGTGGGCCTGTTAAAACAGCAGAGCTTTCATGCTCCGTGAGATCAGATTTGACAACGCTATGAGCAGAAGTCTTCTCATGCGAATGTTTCTGCCTTTTGTCTTTCCAAGGTGGAACTGGGGCTGTCCTTTGGATAAGCAAGCTCCCACCTTTTAGGTCTGGATGGACGTCGGTACTGTGAGCAGACTCCTGGGGCAGATACGCATCTCCCTTACTCGTAGGGGCCGTCTTGGAGGTGGTCTCTGGCTTTGTGAGAGTTGAAATGGACTGTTTTCCCTCCTGAAAAGCAGTGTCAGAGGCACTGCCAGGGAAAGATTTACCCTCCATGCTTTCATGTTTTTGAGCTGATGATGCAGTTACATCTGAGCCCTGGGCAGTCAGAATGGGGCTTTTGCCTTCCAAATCTTTGACTTCCTCCTCAATGTAAGTAGCTTTTGACTTCTTCAGTAAATGTTTCCTATTCTCGCTCCTATGAGGCGACACTGGAAGTCTCTCTAGCTGTTGCACAAAACCAGCTGGGCACCCATTACCCTCACATTGCGTGGAAGGAGGGGGCTGCTCTTCTGAGCAATCCTTGCTGGTTCTCCTAAAGTCCTCTTGCTTTGCAGTGTCTACAAAACATCCCTTGCCAGGCCCTGCAGAAATGTCGCAGTGGTCGCCACCTTCAGCGCAACTTTCCTGTGACAATATATCACAGTCTTCTTCCAAAATATGCTGTTCCCTCACTGATCTTGACGCTCTCAGCCTGTAGTCATCCAGGGAACGGCTTCGGCTCCCACCAGCGATGGCAGGATGTGGTGGTTTCCTTGCAGTGTCAAATGAAGCTGATTTGGTCAAGGAACCAAGCAGACTTTCCCTGTGATCATCTCCATAGTCAGACTTTCCTTCTTCTTCTTCCAGTTCAAACTGCTCTAGGAGGGGTTCACGGAGACCACTGAGGGGCACCTTTGAATATCCAGCTTTCCGGAAAGTTCTTCTGGCTCTGTCCAGGTGCCTTCTGAACTCCCTGCCTGGTGAGGAAGGCCCCCTGGCAGGTAGCTCAGCTGCTTGGCTGTAGAAAGTGCTTTTAATGACACTCTGTCTAGGGACACAGACAGGTGGCTTTTCTGTCCCATCCCCAGCCTTTTCAATTCTGTCCTTATCAGATAAAAATACATCTGGTTTTTCCTTCTGACATAGATTGGATGTGCTTTCCGTGGAAGTCCTCACTGATGAAGGCTCAGCAGCACCACTTCTTTGGGACTGCTCTGCTCCTTCATCTTGAAGTCTGGGAAGGAGCCCTTCTTCTTTCTCCTTTAAGATACTTGCCATGAGCTCTTTACTTTCTGTAGGTGATTTGTCCCCCACCTCACCTTTCATTGAAGCATACTTCCTCCTCATGGGTTTTACTGGAGGGACAGAGATTTTGGTTTGCTTCTCTTCTCTTGCATGTTTTGGAGGCTCCTGGTGGCTTGGTGCATCAAATATGGACAAGTGCAGTTCGGGTGTAGAGCCAAAGTGCCTCTTCGTGGGGAAGTGCGAGTTCTCATTGTCTGAAGAGGAGCCGCTGGTACTGGATGAAGTGCTTTCGTCAATAAGATGTCGGGAGATGGCCAGGGAGGTGTTGTCATGAGTCCTTTCTAGGATTTCTGGGATAGATCGCATTACCAGTATGGATTTATAGCACATCAGAGACCGCTGAAGAGCAAAACAAAATACAGCACAATCAGATGGAAACGTGGTGGGAGTATGGTAAAGCAAGCATGCCAAAATGAACTTCTGCACTCTTAAATACCACACATACTAGTTTAATAACACATTGCCACCCTTTTGTACATATCGTCAATCCAGGCTGCATTTGCTCTCCGAGTCTTCCTCTTCTCTCATTCACAGAGTTGAAACTATATTGACTTCAGGGGACGTACTTGCTGTTGTGAACGGGGAAGCAGGACCCTGCTTGAGACTTTCAAAGATAATCTGGCCACTCAAAGCAAATGGAAAAGGAGTTTTTAACAGAACACATCAGATGAGACCCTACCTGGAGTAAATGGCCTTAAATCCGTCAATTGCAGTAGAACCTACAGTGACTTAAGCCAAGAGAAGAACTACCATACTGTAGGAGGTAGGATTCATCTGCTCTAAATTCTGCCATGTGAGACATCTCAGTTGAAGTTGAGCAGCTGGCCTCCCCTTACAGCCAACAGAGAGAAACAGGCATCTTCAGGAGGCAATCATTCTGATTATTTTAGAGAACTTTGGGAAATGAGGAATCTTCTGGGGACCTGTCTATAATTCAGTACCAATTGCAAAGGCAGCTAAGCATACCTAACTTAGACACAACCGTGCATCTTACAGGCACCTGCATTAGACCAGATGATTTCCAGGCAGTAAAAGTCTAGATAATTTATTTCTGCCCCATCCATTGACCACTCTCTCCTGTGCTTACTCCCCATTCATAGCCAAGCTAAGATCTCTGCTGTGCTTGCTGTCCTAGCCCAACAGACTTGAAAAGATGGAAACGTAATTAAAATATATATGTAACTAAAAAGAACCAGCATAGATTAAGACCAACTCACCTGCCACTTGCTCCGAGCCACGATGAATTTGAGCTGCTTGGTATTAATGAAATGAGCTGCTTCGAGGGGGGGATTATGCTGCCAGGTGGAATGAGAGAAAAATCATTGGTTAAAAAATCCTGACTTCAGTTTCTGAGAAGGTTTTTTTGTTTTGGTTTGGTTTTTTTTTTAGGATTCCCTCCTTCCAGAATTGTTTAATTTAGGAAAGTTACAATAAAGCAAATGCTACAATCCCCTCATGACTAACTTGTAGACTTTCTCAGCTTTTCAATGACAAAAGCAAGCCCTGTTCAATGCATGTCATTAAATTTGGGGGGTTTTTTTTTGCTAATTTTTAGCTCTTCTCCTTAGCGATTTAAGACATTGGAATATAAACCATATCTTTGCTTTGCAAAGCCACAGTTTCCTTTCTATACAGACATGTTATATCTGCTTATGTCAGCAGTAATGTTTATCTTTTGAAAGAAAGACATTTCGGCATGTAAACACCAATGTGTCTCCTCTTTCTGGAGATCCATGCCTGAGCTTCTCTGCAGGACAGAAAGTAGGAGACCAAGAATAAAAATAAACCAGCAAATAGTATCAAGCAGCTTTAAGAGCTGCCCCTCCAAAGGTCTTTTCCAACCTCAATATTTTTAATGACTAATAAGGAACCAGGACAAACTTACCATGAACCACTGGTGGGAAAGACAGTCCGAAGCACTAGGCCTGGCTCTGATAAGAGAAAAGATCAACATTTTAGTAGCAAGTCACTTCCAACAGCAACCGCAAGATCTTCCTGAAGTTGCCTGCTTCACGTGGACACATGCATGCACTTTTGTTTATGTCCTTAGGCTGCTGTTTTAGAGCTGAGAAGCCAAACAGACAGACGGAAGCTTTTAGCCCAAGGTTTCCTTCCCTTGAGGTGAAACAATCTTCCTTTTTCAGTCTGAGACTCCCTGTAGATCCTCAGGAAGACCCCATGACACTCTGCAGGAAGCCTGTTCAAGAGGGTCGAAAGCAGCCCTAAGAGTGACTTTGACTCTTTAGGTGGCCAGAGCAAAAATATCTTTGGCAGCAGGAAGAAAGAATAGAAATGAAATTAAAAAACAAGCGCCTGCAAACATGCCTTCAAGCTGCCTTTTGTACTTGAAATTGTGTAATAAATGTGGTTAATATTATTTAATTCTCGCATAACTCCCTCTATACTTGCTCTTCCCACTTCTCTATGTCATTTCAGAAACTCATCTGCCTGGACAAGTCAGGGAGTAAGAACATCACCATACCAGAAACAGGCCAATCTGGCAAATTGCCAAGTTGTGTTTTAGGTAGTGGGGAATAATAAAGAAGAATTAGGGTATAACGCACCACATCTCACTCAGCTTTCTACTTTTCAAAACGACTGCAGCTCTGACAAGCTGAGATCTGCCTGCTGAGACACCAACATCTTTGCACACTGGCTGTAGGAAGCACAAAAGTGCACTCACTTGGGGTCCTGCTGTAGAATCCCTTTCATAAAGTCCTTTGCATCTTCACTCAAGTGAACAAAATCAGGAGTGGTCCATGAAATTTCCCCATTCTGGATATTTATAAGGGTTCCTCTGTCGTTCTCCCCAGCAAATGGAGACTTGCATGTTAGGCTTATTTATTGAACACCATAAAATAAAAGGAGACAGAATTTAGACTTCTATTTGCTGTTCAAATGACAGAAGCACAAATGCTTACATGGGGCTTTAAAACACTTGAGGAACTCCATGCGTGGGACTTGCAATGCTCGTGAGCATTGCATCCACTAACGGAGCATCTTTCACCCCAGCATTACATGGCATTTAACTGAATTACTTATCCCTGTTTCACAGATAAGGAATTAAGGGTTTGATTTTGCACGCCTCCAGTAGGGTGTTGGCTAAAACAGGCAAGGGGAAGACGGAACCTCATCCACCGCTCTCATCGCTAACTGTGAGGAGAGCAGCTGTCAGGTCTTCAAGGAGGGACAATGACCAAAGCCCTGGGCAACCAGGAAAGAGTGAGTAAAGGAGAAAACCACAAAATAAATAACCCTCGTTATAGAAGGACTCAATGCTTCACTCAGATCCCTCACTTGAAGGTACTGGAGAGCTCTCACTGACAAAGGGACATTGAATAAGTCTTTCCAAGAAGATTTATTTACCTTAAATATGTGATGACTCCAACAGCCCTGAGGAGAGAGGGAATACAAATGTCAGGTGTTTGTCACTATTTCTCCATCCTTCTCAAGCCCACAACCCCTATTCCTGCCACTAGACACCCTGGCACCTTCTTCTCCTCACCTTTCCAAGGAAAATAAATCCCAAAAGCTATTGTTTTCACCCTTCAGTTCTTTTCCCTTCAACATTTTTTATAATTGTCCTCAAGTAATCCTCCATTTTTAAAGCACAGATAGAGGAGAAGGCTCAAAATACTTTTTTGGAGTTTGTTTGCCTTTTCTAGAAAGCCCCTTAGGATCATCCTCCCTGGTTGCTGCCTCTAATAAAGATAATCTTCTCTAAGATGCTCCTTTGCATTAATTAGCTGTCAGAGTTCAATTATGGTTGAACAAAATAGACAGAAGGAGCTTTAAAAAGCCCTGATGGGTTATGGTTCTCGTTGTTCACTTTCAGTTTCCTGTGTTATTATCACTACTCCACTTACTTATTAACAATAAATGGAAATTCAGGCCATCTAGGGCAAAAGCTTTTTAGAAAGATGACAGGTTACCAGATATCAGTTCCTTTTGACACTGGTGACTGAGAAACAATTTCTGGGGCAACAAACTCCGGAGACCCGTATTTGCTGAACTGAGGCTCAGAGGGCGTGATCTTCTGAGCAAATCCAAAGTCACAGAGCTTAAGGTCTTCCCTTTCAGGATAAACCATGAGGATATTCAGTGGCTAGTGAATGAAATAAAATAAGAGAGAGAAAAACTTTTCTTGAGAGCAGGCAATATTTTCAGTTGTAAGTAAGAATAACTCAAATAAAGAACGCCCATTCCCTGACCAACAAGAGGCTATGATAAGCTAGACCTGCCATTGCACATTACCTTAATGTCCAAATGAAGGATGTTGTTATCATGAAGATATTTGATTCCTTCCAAAATTTGCTTGATATACAATTTGACCTAAAAATTAAATCAGTTGTTAATTAATTATTAAACATTAATAGTAAATAAGAGAGTCCCTGATTCCACCAACATTTTTAATGTATGAGAGAGGGAAAGATTGAACTAGAAATATTTTTAAAACTAGAATGAACTTCTTTTATTAGTCTTGCAGTTGAAATAAGGTGTGAACCAACCATTACCATGTGGAATGAAGCTGTGCCTCATGTGTGGCCACATTGCTCTGCTGGAGCCTTCTATATGTGAAAAAGCCCTTATTTAAAAAAAACCAACCCTACAAACATGTAAAAAAGAGATACAAAAATCCTCATGTTTGACGAACCTTATCAACTTTCTAACTTATCTAATTCAAACTCAACTCTGGCTTGGTGTAAATCAGCCAAACACATTTAACACACAAATAGATTTTAAAACTATGTTGTAAACCTATTTTTCTGATCATATGTAGATCCAATCTGACTATGACTGAACAAGGAGTGAATATTTACAGCTAGCTTCAGCTCTGGAAATCTCCTACCTTTGACATTTTATAGTGTTAGCTGACATTTTATCTTTAAAGGTCCTTTCCAACCCAAACCATTCTATGATTCTATGAGGTTTCCCTCTGAGCATTTTTAAGAAAAATCAATTTTACCAATAAATATGGGACACCTGGCTACTAGATGGGACTCAAAAAAATCCTTAGAAACCATCATTTCAGCCCTTGGTTTGGACACTGAAAGGGAATGGGTAGAAGTAGGGTTGCAAGGGGATAAAGCATTATTAAACAAGTGAAGATACAGGAGCTCCAGGTGACAGATAGCAAAGGAATGATGATAATAGAGCAAATATCATCTGTATTAGGCTGAATGCAATGCTGGTGGTCAAAACCACTGGCTGTTGCTAGTTATTCCCTGAAGAAACTCAACTTAGTAATGGAAGCTGATGAGGACACATTTTAAAGGCTGATTCTGTTTTGACAGATTATTACTGGTTCAGAGACATTCTTCATATTCAAAAAGGAAAATGCAGCCGGAAGGGACTCTGGTGGTACCCACCAACTCTGGACTTTGAAATGAGAAAGAAAGATTACCTCTGCTTCAGTGACAACACTCTTCTTGAATAAACGGTCAAGGAGCTCTTCGCTGGAGCATCTGGCAACAGCATTAAGGGAAAACAGAACTACAGTTAAATGCTTATTTTTACTTTGTAACCACCTCTATCCAGCTAACAGCAGAATTCACCAGGTGATCTGCATGTTAAATCATTGAAGTCTCTACCGCAGCAGATCTGGGCGGCTCTAAACCTGTGCTCCCTACAGGCAGGAGCATGGTATGGCTTGTGCTAAAATCTACCTGCTGGCGATGGGCTTTTCTGCTCTGCACTGCATTTTCCTGGTGCTCAGCCAGACTGGATCTCGTGGAAACGGACTCCACTTCCAAACATTTCAGAAAAGAGTTTTGGTGCTTAACAGCTCATTCACACTTGTACATACAAGTATCATGATTTTTCCTAAAACAGCAGAAACATAGTACTTCAGTGAAGAGCTCACAGAGCTATGCTGTCTTGCAGTGCAGAGAAAAATTGTGTGTGTCCTTTTATCTCAGGCAAAACCTAAAAATGGTTAATCGCTTAGTTATTTAACAAATCACTTCTACCTAGTACTTCCCAGCCTCCTTAGACAAGCAGCACAGAAAAGGATACAACTCCAGAATCAAAATCAGTGTTTTCCGTGTTTCAAACTGATCCAGGAGCCTGGTAATTCTGTCATGGGATAGAGAGGCAAGAATATCCCTCTCTTGATGCGCTCGAGCCTTCGTTTTGCTTCGTAGAGGTATGAATTTGGCAGCACAAGACACTCTGTTCCCTTTGTGTACAACTCGTTTCACAAAGCTGAAGCAGCCCCTGCACAAAAAATCAAAGGACAAGCCCTGCTCAGACTTGGTTCAAAGCCCTCTGCACAGCAGGTATAGACCTTTCCACCTCCCAGCTTTTGACAGCTCCCTACTGCTCAGGGCTTAAATTCTCCAACATGAAAAACTCGTTTTCTTCTATGTAAGGTGCTGTTGCCCTCTCCTGGCTGTCTCCAAAACTAAGCAACGAGTTCACATCAAGGCAAAAACTGTTTCAAGTGATACAGCCTTGTGCTGACAAAGGCTGATGATGCTCTTGGAAGGGGATGGTGCTTGTGCATACGTCACTGTGGGCTTGTGATGCTAATATTGCCAAGAAGCCATACCTTGGCACCTATCCTGCCAGCCTCTGGCTGTTTGGTTGGTTTTTTTTCTGGTTGGAGCTATCTGGACCTATGGACTCTATGGACTCTCCCATCCTCTGTCAGAAACCTCAGGAAAGTGTTTCCAGCACACCTGCAATGGGGTGACCTCCCAATTCTGCCAGTACTTTCACTTTTTTGGACTTATCCACAGCTAGGTCCACCTCTGCCTCTGGTTACACATGCTCAGCAGCTCAGATGGGCAATTAGATATTCTCTGGCAGTGATGCTATAGAGTTGGAAAATTCATTTACCTTCCAATCTCCTGCTTAACCTCATAAAGGGAATGGAGCTTTCTCCTGGTGGCCACTTTCTTTGCCGCTTGGTCTTTCTTAGCTTTGAAAATGAAGGAAAATATAAGTGTTAATATTCAGACAACAATGCCTTGCTCATAGCATGCAAAGTTATTACAATTTAAGGCAGGAAAAATAACAGGTGTCCTATAAACTTCTGCACAGAATTAAGTGGAGCTGCTTGATGACAAAACCTGTCAATATGAACTTTGGGGCTGCATCTTCACCTGACATAAATCAGAAGAGCCAGGCTAAAGAGCAGAACACCACCAGAGATATGGCCCCGCTTATTTCTGGGGCCTATTGTATCAGTTTGCCATGTAGTCTGAAGCAGAGGAGAAAAAAAAAAAAAATCACATTTGTATATATATGTGTAGGTCATTAGATCATTTGCTCTTAAACTGGATCCTGCCATACTAGTGCTATACAAATATTACGCAGGAATACAGAGCATAAACCACATGGGTACCAGAAGATGACTGCAACAGAGTATATATTGCAATGGCTATGGAAGCAACTGCTGCAGCTGAAAGAATGACATTACCTTCATGTACAATCAGCTCTGCTTTGCACAAAACCTCCCCTCCTGCATTTTTGGCAACACAGGTATAAACACCACCATCTTCTGAGACAGCATTGTCAACGACTAAGAAATATGTTGTTCCTTCCTTCCCTTGATGGAGCCTGTTGCTGTCTGTCAGCAAGGAAGTGCCCTGAAAGAATGAAACGACATTTTGGCACTGGAAAAAAACAAGATGGAAACCGATGTTTCTTCTCTTCAAGAAACAAGATACGGGAGCAGAGCTACAACACAGACGATTTAGGCTAGCAAATCTCACTAAAAAAATGCGGGCTGAAGAAGTCCCGCATGTCTAATTGATGCTCTGCTTCCATGTTACCCAATAATATTTTTGTTTCATAACCCATTCGTAGGAATAGAGGCTTGGGAGGGATCACCAGGGCTCTGTTGGTTTATTCTTCAACTGTCCCAGCACCCCATGCCTGAGCAGTCAGCCCAGGGAGCACGAGGATCAGCTGCTTTGCTCCTGCCTGGTCTCCAGCTTGTGCTGGCACTTGTGCTGCTTAATATATTCATAAATGCTAAGAAAAAAAGGGACAGGAGGGAGTGTGTGTGACACAGAGAGCAGATTATGAAGATTTGCAAAAGGACCTTATGAGACCACCTGTCTGGGCAGTAAAATGCCAGATAAATGTATATGATACAATAAATGTGAAGTGATGCAACCCTATTCCCCAAATGAAATGGTCTCTGAGCTGTTCCTTCTTACACTGGAGCAAAACTTTGAGTTACAGTAGGTCACTCCATTGCAGCACCAGCTTAGTGCTTGGTGGTGGTCAAAAAGTACCAGATGTTAGAAATTATTAGAATAAGACAGAATGCATCATCTTATAAATCCTTGGTTTTCCCAGGGTGTGGTAGTGTTGCAGCAATGTTCTTTCTGTAACAGCTTCCAGATGAGGATTGACACAGCAGGTTGGGGCTCTTCAGCCTGGAAGGGAGGATCTAGCAATACGACATGATAGAGCTGTACAGGATTATGAATAGCTTATGGTAAATATGTACAGAACAGCCAAAAAGAGGTGGCACTTCAGGCAGCATGCTGTCATTGTGTTGAACTCCTTGACAAAAGGACACTGTACATCCAAGATGTTTGCATGGATGGAAGAGGAGACTAAAAACGCACATGGAGAGGTTTACTGTGGGTTAGTGAATAGGTAAATGTTTAGCTAGCTTGCAATTACTCTGAGCTGAATATGTCAGAGATTGCAAGAATATTAACAGGGTGTGTCATATATTCTTGCCTTGTTCTCGTTCTTTTCAAGGTGTTCAGGTGTGTGCATGTGCATGTGTGTGTGCGCGTGGGAGGGGATTCTTTGCATTTTTACTTGTTTTTTTTAAGGCTATTTTATTTGTCATCCTTGCACTTCCCATACAGAAAAAAAAGATGGAATAAAACTCGTGTGTACAAAATACTTAGTTGGACAGACAATCATTATAGAACAACACTGGCTTATTTCAGGGGCACGACAATATTCTGAGGAATAATAAATTTTTTCTCCTTCCTTTCTATGGGGTATTCATTGCCCTTGGTCACACTCATTTTACCAATTAGCTGCAGAAAAGATACAGAGCCTGGAAGTCACATTGACAATTGGAATAAACCACTCATAATCCCATCCCCGACCCCAAAACTACAGCACACATCTTGGTGGCTCTCAAGCAGGAACCAATCTCCCTTGCTGCCCATCTTGGTCCCCAAAACCATCTTGGTGCCTGTGAAAGGAGCCACATTGACACTGGAGACAACACAGGGTGAGATGCATGGTTGGTGGTTCCAGCGAGAACTGCAGCTGGTTTAACAAAGCCTATAGATATGACCCAGAATCAGTGTAAGAGATGTGGGACGAAAGAGCAAAAGAAATTCCCCGCAGAAGTACTGCACTACAGTCCTTTCTGTGGTCTTCACTCCCAGCCAGAGAAAAGGCTGCACTTACCTTAAACCACAAAACGGTTGGCTGAGGGGTTCCTTCAATGACTGCCTGAAATTTGGCACGCTCCCCAGAATTCACCTGCACATCCTCGATTGTCACTTGCATATAGGGAGGACCTGGTGAGACACAAGGGTTTGCTGCATGCACAATACCATAACTTTATTCATAGTGAGTTACTCAAATGGGACTTACAGCACTGGCCATTTAGGATATAACATTAGGTTAACATCAAATCAAGAGATACCACAGCAATATATTTGGGTTTCTTTATACTAGTATTACTTTTAGGCTTTATCTTCATGCTTATCTGTTACTTTTTGTTTAATAAACGGTTACTGCTCAAGAGATGGAAATATTTAAAGAAACAGTCACCAGGAGTTATTACCAAAAGAGAAGACAATGACAATCATGGGATGTGGGAAAGGAAAACAAGGTTCTTTTACTTACTTGTTGGGGTCTTCTCCTCAGTCTTATACACACAAGTTCTTTCCGTGGTCTCAATATAAACTTCACTGTGTACATCCCAGACCACATCTCCTTCTCTTCTGTACCAGCCTCCTGCCCCTGTGGCTGGTGATGTTCTTTCATCAAGCCCAAGAGAAAAGACCGTTACATAGTCACATACAACTACAGAGATACGGGATTATACCCTGCCATTTATCTGGGTGTTTAACCACCAGATAAATAACTATTTACTTAAAATTAATATGGGAAGGATTTTGTTTTGGGAGAATTAATTTCTCTCCAACCTCTGCTATCCTTCTTGCACAATGCGTGTGTGAACAGGATTCCAAAAATACTAACAAACAAACCTACAAGAATTAGTTCAAGTCACCACCTGCTCCCTCCACCACAGAGGACTTGCTTTTCTTGCAACAAAGTCTGCCACATTCAGAAATCTGTATATTGAGATGAGTATTTACCTGGTAATAGGAACAGTGCGCTCCTGAGTGCTCTCATCTCCAGCAGCTGTCTCTTCAGAGGAAGGACCAGGGCTGGGCTTTGGCACGCTTGGTTCTTCGGCTGGGACCTGCCTTTGTGCTTTGTCTGGCAGCAGAAATAGGGCAAGTTAGACACGTCCCCTATGATGGCACACCTGAAACCCAGAGCAAACCTTTGGAGCCATCTCTAGTCTGCCTTGTGTCAGAACCAAGTCTGTCTGACCTCAATTGAGTGCAATCACTAAGAGGAGAAATCGGCCCTTTTGAGAAGACCACATGAAGCAAAGAGCTTGAATGACATCAGAGAGACTGAACGGTGGCACATTGCTGACTGGGCAAAATTAACTTTTCTGTAAGGAAACACACACAGACAAAAATAGGATAGGTAGGCAGTAGGGACAGGAAGAAATAGGATGACTGGAAGGATAGGGTGAGTTCAATACATCCTTTATAGGAAATAATTTAACTGTGTTTGAGTTTCAGCTCATGGCTATGATGAAATCATAGAGTCATAGAATCATTTAGGTGGGAAAAGACCCTTAAGATCATCGAGTCCAACAGTTAACCTAACACTGCGAAGTCCACCACTAAACCATGTCCCTAAGCTCCACGTCTACACATCTTACAAATACCTCCAGGGATGCCCTCCGTTAGCTTCGTACACATGAATGCTTCAATTAAATTTTGCGTTACGAGAATAGGTCTTGACTTACTGGTGTAATCACAGACAGCATCAGTGAAATGAGTAAGCTTACATCAATGTAAAACTGGTGGTCAAGGCAGGCCCTGGCTGGGGGTACAACTAATATAGAGATAATATGGAGGTATGCTAATACAGAGGACCTGGTGATGTTATAATGTCAGCGTTGGTGCACCTCCACCGGGTTCTTTGAAAATGTCCTCGTACAACTCTAAGTTACACCAGAACAAAGTTTGGCATCTGGGGCTTATAGGAACAAGGAAACAAAAAGATGGTGCAGCTTGATGGCAGTTTAGGTATTGCTCTTCTTTTATTATTAATTATTTTATCAGATATATCTTCAAAAATTATTTTGATGTTCCATTCCAAATGTACCTGATTGTCTTTTGATATTGACCATTAGAGTTACCCCATAGGATAAAGCGCATCATCTCCTTTTTCATCAGAGGACAAAAGGTTAAATCAAGAGGAGTCTTTTCCCCATCAGGAAGGGCCATTTTGGGGAGCACTCTAGGGATGTTTGGTACTGGCTGGTTTTGAAAAGTGCAACAGTTTCTAGAAATCACATAAAACACCTCTATTGGGGTGGAAAACATGGTTATTCTAGGCATTACTGGCAGGGTCAGAGGTCCCAGGTTGGTGGGATTGTGCTTTGCTCTTGCCAGCACTATGGAAATATTTGCCTTCTTTTTATTCAAAGCATGTGATCACAGGGACAGTTGTCAAGTCTCCATCTTAGTGAAATAATTCCCCATATTAATAACACATTTAGTTTTCTCAGATGAAAGGACTGGAAAACCATCTCATTCACTATTCTATTATCGCTGTAGTTATGACCTTTTATTTACGATTTTTGAGTCATCCTGCTTCACCAGAGTATTATTTTCACAGATGATTTCCTACCAGAAAGGAAAAAAGGTTTTAAAGGCCTGTCATTTTTTTTACACAGTTATTTTGGGTCTGATCCCATGAACTGCTTCTATCCTTGTTAAGTTTTAGACAAGAATATCTTTTTTTTTAAACAGCATCTGGAGTTTGAGGGCTGATGGCTACTTGACATTGTCCTTTTAAGTTAACATTGGTGGAGAACAGCTACTCTGACTTGAAAAAGAGACAGTTTAGACAAGTTGCTATGGCAGAACCAGTAGGAAGAGTGGAAGGGTTGCCGCTTATTCATGTTTTTTTAAAAAACGATGCAAAGACAAAAGACTTGTTCTCCTGGCAAGACACAGACACACACGTCGTTGGTTTTAATCACATGGAAGCTGCTAAGGAGTCTATCAAGGCTCCAGGGCCAGTGAAATGCAGGTGAACTTGATGCACTCAACATCCTAGAAAGTCTCAGGCAGTTGATGCAGGGGTGTTAAACACATTTCCAGCTTGTTTATGGCAAACAATAAAAGAAAAACAACCTCCCTTACCCACCCCCACCAAATAAAAACCCAAATGACCTCCATAAATATAAAGGAGGGATCCCACCCCTCCTTCTCCCCGCAAAAACTTGAAGCAAGCCCAGGGTCAAAAGCCCAAAGGTGGAAAAAAATCCCCTGTCCCTCCATTTTGGGCAGGTAATGAACTAAACTACTTCAGACACAGTTTTCAAACACCTCCTGTTTCCAGAAAGATCCGCCCCCAATTCATGTCCAACCTAACCCCACCCCACAGCCCCATGTTTCTTTGGGTCTGAATGTCCTCTCTTAATCTTCAACTGCGCAAAACACAACGAAATAGAAAAATGAGGGGAAAATATCAGTATTGGCATGTTCAATATTTTTGTCTCTCTCGACTCTCACAGGACGTTGTCCAGATTCATGCCAAACATACCATGCCCTCCAGCAGTCTGGGTTTGGGTACTGGCTTCATGAACTAGCACAGAGGGCCCGGCTGCTGTTTCTGAGTGGTCTGAAGGAATGGACCCAGGAAGGCCAAGGCCACCGACTTCTTCTCGCATGCCCGGGGGAAGAGTCACCAGCAGTGATGCCGAGTCCACGAGTTTCTTTAGAGCTGTCTTGATCTCCTTATCGGCACGCTGAAGCGAGGCCTGGACAGAAGTCTCCACCTCTGACTGTGGGGAAGTCATTCCTACAGACAAGAAGAACAGCTTTTCTCTCTTCAGGGTAAAAAGAAAATAGCAGCAGCATCCAACCCATGGAAATATTTGCAATTGTACCATTTTCACCTCCTAGAGCAGAGAGCTCATGCAGAAATGCTTATTCCAGCAAGAGAGAATGTAGCTAAGACTTAAAATAAGAAGGATGGGACAACATGCTTCAGGAAGACATATCTCACCAGGTTGAAGACACTGTGCCACACTGCACAGACACACGGCCTCTCCTCAGACAGCAGAACAAAGGATCCATCTCCCAACTCAACCCTATGTTGGCTGGTCTGTCAAAAATACCTTTATTAAGATCAATGAAATGAACCCAGCGGTGACCCATTGCACTGATACAGACCCTACGTGCAAGGAGGACGTTATTTTCATAGGGAAGGAGAAGGAGCGAGCAGGTACCAGCCTCATCGGTGACTCTGGAGAAGGGCAGGGGAAAGAAGGGAGGGCTCTTCTGCTTCATGAGCCTGTAAGTCGGAGAGGATGGCAGAGAAGCTACTGCTTGCTCTAGAGTAATGTATTTGTCCTGCGTTACAATATCTGAATATTTTTGCTGGGCTTTGCACTAGAAAGTACCTGAGACTTTTAATTTTGTACTGGACTATGCCTTTGCAAGTTACTGTATAAGCAAAAAGTCACCTGGTCTGTACAGTAATGCACAGCAGTTGCATATAAGGAAGCATTACGTAGGGGAAGATGTAACTCCTGTCTCAAGAAACTCATGGTCTTGAAGGCAGAGAGAAGACAAAAGTTTTCCACACAGAAAAATGGATTTTCAAGCATATATCTTTGCAGAATGGCCACCCAGGAGACCAATCCCATGGTCTCAGCACCAGTCAGCACTGGTTAGAAGAAGCTAGGCTAGGATGGGATCATAGGACCTCAGGAGCTCATCTCATCCCATCTCCTGCCCAATACACCTTCCACAAATCTTGAAGAGGCACAACAAAGGGACCAATGATATCTAGGGAAACTATCAAGTAACCACGAAGACAGAAAAAATGCTTGTCAGATTAAGACAATTCATCATGTTCACGATGCAATTGCTTGCCAAGCAAGAGCGCAAGCTCAAATCATCATGTGGTTCAAGAAAAAAATAAGGGCACTTGCACACAGATGGCTCTGACTTGTTTAATGTCATTGACACAGGAGCATGTCCTGAATCAGTTTTGATTCTGCTCCTTTCCCAGCCTTAAGAAAGTAAATTCCCATGATAGACCTGAGCAGGTAAACTTGAAGGCTGTGTTTGGATCAGCCCCCTTTGAAGAATTCTCACTCGATTTTTGTTTTCAGTGGCCTCCCCATGAGCATGGTGGTTTTGAAATATTTCAGTTCTGGATCTGTTGATGGAAAAAAGCAAGTTTTGCTCACACGATGTCCCAGACTGACCATCAGCGTTTATCAGCACTGGGCTGGGTGGAAGATCTTTAAATATTTTCCTAGATAAATATTTTGATTCCCTGGCGTTCCTATTGCAATTGCTGCCAGCTTGTGCTGTTGGCAGATGCCCAGCTCATAGGACAAGTGAACTGTTTAGAAAGGCATGAAACACTCTTAATATCTCTCAGTGAGAAAATATATTCACAGGTATACATATACAGGTTATACAGAACCACAGGTCTCCCCCATGCTGCTAATACCACCGCTTTCCTGCCTGTTTAGGGATGTTTACACACTGTGATTCAAGCTGAGGAACTTTAATATTAGCTGAGGCACATCAAATTAATGCTGCAGTGATGACACACCTGTGATGGACAGCCCGTTTCCCAATTCTAAAATCTCAACCGTGAACCTTTCTGCCCCACATCTCCTCCAGCCAATAACCAGGAACACAAGACTGACACGTATTTTGAAGTTCCAATTCAGCCTCAGAGAAGGACCCAAGAAGACGAGCATCGTTCAGAATTATTGACTCCTAGATCTGAGTTGGAAGTATCCCTAAAAACAGGTTTTTTCACTTCAACACTTCTGAAACTGTCCATAAAAAAGGAGCCCGAGCCCAACTGCATTAAAATTCTTGGGTTGCAACTCAGCTCCTGCTGAAGTCAATGGGAGAAGCGGATGAGCTGATGGACTATCAAGTGCCGTGAACAGAGAACAACACAGAAACCCAGTGAGTTCAATGACAGCTGATGCAAGACATTTATTGATATAAACTCAGCATCTAACAGCATATCTTGCATTTGATTTTTTTTGTGTTTTTTTTTCTTTTTGTACCTCAAGCAAACTGAAGTTTCCACTTTATTAATACCCATTTACCTGCAGGAATTTTAGTAAAACATTCTTTGTATTAAAATTTTTAATACAGCTGAATGTTTTCATCTACAAGAAATAAACCCCCACACGCCTCATTAGTTATCTACATAGTTTAATCACTTACAAGCGTAATTTTTAACCTCTAGGAAAATATTTTGAAAGTATGTGTAATGAACTTTTCATAAACCTTCCACCTTTTGAACAGAGTCCTGCATAGGATTTTAAAAATGCCTTTCAATTGATTTCTCTTTTGCATAAATTTCAAAAATGTAAACAGATGTTAATTGCTTTGAGCTAATGAATCAAAGTATATTTATTTCTTCCACAACCATCTGAACTGCAACCTTTTAGCTTCTTTAGAAAAACCTGAGCATCAACCACAACAGGAGGAAACCTCTGCATTCCTTTACACATCTTTACTATCTTTTGGATGAATATTATATTTTTGAAGACTATCATAGGGCAAATTCTTTTCTCAGCAGTATCTTTGTAAATCTGAATCAAATCCACTTTCTTCTGTGGAATTCTTCTAGATTGATACTAGAATAACTGAGATCAGAATCAGGCCCAATATGAAAGAAATATTTTTCGTTTCGGAAGTATATCCCTGTTGTATGTCTGTTACTTTCCAACATACAGTGCAATATATGAAAAAAGCACTAATATATATCCATTGTATTGCTCAATTATAAAACAAACAGTATAAACCAAGGAGATGTTATAAAAAACGGAAGAGTAACATAAAAGAGGCTTGATTTCTTTCACCACATGTAATGACTGGAAAAGCATCCTATATCATGAGGGTAGTGCACATGATATTACACATAACATCCTGTTTGGATATTGAAAGTAAAAGGCTGTGAAATCAATATGTTCATTTTAGTCAGCACATGATCAAGGTGCGGCCACAGACAGGAAAAAAAAAAAAGTATTCTTTTCTACAAGCACTTTCTGTGAATTCAGTCCCTCTTAGTGGGAATATTGCCCGGAGGACTCCAGAACAAGCTTCACAATATCACCTAACTGGGAAACACTGAGACAACATCACACATACATTTCCAAGGCAGAAACTCACTCAATCCTCTCTCTTCAAGCTAGTTAGAAATTCAGCTGTGTCTGAGCATTTCTGGTTTCTCTACACCATCTAAATGAAAATATTTTCTATTGCAACGCTTCTACACAACTCAGCTGGGACAAGGTACTGGGAGCTTTCACCCCATATCTCTGTCAAGCAGAGAGGGCCAGTGCTTGGTCCTGCTGAGATCAATGACAAACTCCAGCTGACTTCAACTGGGACCAGTATATGGGCCTGTGAGCTCATTTCTTTCCAGGGCTGAGCAACTTGTTGAAGGTCTGTGCAACATCCATTTTTGGTGAAGCCAACAGGAATGGGCCATGCTCAGTCCATCTTAGCCTTCCCCTCAACCAGCATTCCCACTGCAAAGCTCCAGAGAAACCTAACAGAAGGCAGTACCTCTACAAGACAGCTCAACGTATGTGGGTACAGTAATACGATGCGATTGCAACTGGCAGTGCTTCCAAGCAACCCAATGCATTTTGAACAGATGTATTTTTCCACTAGGCATTTATGGTAAAAATCTCCTTTCTCTATTTTTTTTTTTTTAAAACTGTGTTTGTGCTCCTGCTATGTTGCTGTAGCTCAGTGGTGAATTCCTCTTAGCACATACAGGAGACATTATCCATCAATTTGTTAACAGTAATGTTTCACCACTGGCATGTACAGGAGACCAAGTATTCTTCCAGTAATATTTATTGACAAAGACCACATTTGTGGTTCTTTTTATGTGTTAGTGTTTGATTATAGATGTAGAAGTCACTTTGCGCAGCACTTTAATCTTTTGGTGCGTGTTAAGTAATTTTGTATTTTAAAAGATATGGTTTATAAATCCACTGCACTAGAATGCAGAATAATGAAATCTACATCTTTAGACAACTAGGAAGTGGACTTGAAAATAACAGTCAAAAAAAATGGCCTTTTTTTACTTAAAGCAGAAGAGAACAATGAAATCCTTGCTTCCTCAAGTCAGTGGGACTTTCACCATTGACTTTAGTCAAATTAGGATTTCAGCCAAAAGGTCTGAGCAGCCCTTCGCTTCCCTAGTAAATGCAATATTTTCTATATGTTTCATTCTGTGGCAGGAGTTTAAAATAATGTAATCAGACTGTGCATGTTGAAAGGTTTATGAAGAAATTTTGATAGAGCTAATTGGTGTCGAAAGTGTACAGCAGAGTCAAAGCAGTGTGAAGCTTCATGACCTTCAGGCACACACAGTGACAGGAGATCGCTTTAGCTGGAAACAGTCCTTCCATCCTGGGCTGCTGAAGGATGCTGAAAAGCTTAGATACTTTCACCTTCTTGCCGTACCATAATGTACAAATTGGCACTTGAAATAATTTAAGTTCATGGACAAAAATGCACTTATTCATTTATATTTCTGTCATAGGCAGGAGAATCAGGCTTTTCCTAAACCTACCATCACTGCTCTGCTATGGAATGATATATGTTCACCTCGATCAAAGCTTTTAAAATTACAAACTGTTCTGAGAGACATGTTCCCTTTAAGACTGGAAAAGCTCGACATACTGTATTTAAATATATTTTCCTCAAAGATATTCACTTGTATATGTTACCTTGTAATCTTTGCCACCAATTCCCCTCACCTACAATAATTTTGATGAGTTTTTTCTAAAACACTGCTTTCTTTTGTGTTGAAAATTATGCTCGCATCTGCTCAGCTTTCGGAGAGGTCTTCTGTGCTGATGTGCAAGGTAACAGGCTCGCCAACAGTTCCATAGCTGAGGGTTCTTGTGGAAACTTCAGTTTTAAAGCTTGACTGTCCATTGTCTGCTGAGAGCTGGACTTCGGTGCAGAAAGATGGTTTCACTGTGAAGGAGGGACCGGGAGAAGCTGCTGCTGTTGCTGCGTGCACTCCAGGCGTCACGTGGAAAGAGATGTTTGAGGGGCCTACAGACTGCACGCCGGTTACTCTAGATGCTGTCATGAACATGCCCCCGGGAATGTGCTCCTCAAACTGGCTGAAAAATCTTTGCCTGGGCTTGGACACCACAGGTCTCACCAGATTCAGCAGCACTGGCTTCCCAATCGTTGGCTCGTTAATCTCAGTCTGGAGCACAGAGATCTCGCAGGGTTTCTCTGCCCTACGGTTCTGGTCGTCACACCCATAGGTCTCACCTTCTTTGGGAACATAGTCTTCAAGATCCTCCAGAGTTAATACTTTGCCATTGTGGGTTAAGATTTTGCGGTCCCGGGTGCTAATGTCGTCTGTCTGTAGTTCCTCTGGTTCATCAACTATAATGACATTATCCTCTTCTGGAAGGACATCTTGCATTACTTCGGGTACCCCCTCTTCAATAGGCCAAGATATGTCTAATTCATCTACCTCTTCCTTAACCTCTGGACTCGCTGGTGAGAACAGAAGTTCCTGCTGGTCTGCAGCAGCCGTCTCAAAACTGAAGACCAGAGGCTCACCCCCACAGGCAAGCAGCGGGGAAGCAACGTCCGACCCATAGCGAGCACTTGTTTCCTGGGGGAAGCTCTTTCCTTCGGTTCCATAATCCATAAAGGAACTATTTCCTAGCTGGTCGGACTCACACGGGGAGCTTCTGTCCTCGCTGCTGACTTGAGGTCCTTCTTCCTCGGTTGCATACACGAGGGGCTGGATATCGGCTTCAGAGAGACTGTCATTAGGCAAAGATTTTGACTGTTCCACCAATTTATTGTTGGAGTTGTTTGTGTTCGGATCATCTTCTGGGGAACGCCTAGGCCTTGAGCTGGGAAAAGTGAACGTTAACACCCCTGAGTCATCTTTTCCTTGTTTTGCTGGGGAAGAACCTCTTTTCCTTGCAGGTTTTGGTGATTTTTTCACCTTGAATTCAATTATTTCTTCCACTTCAACCCACTTGGGCTTTTTCTCTTCCCCCTTGGTCTCTGTGATGACATCTCTAGCTGCTGCTCCTTGCCTGTCCTCTGGTTCTGTGACAAAAAGCATGGGAACAGCAGACTTCGATGTTGTCTCCTGCTCATGTCTGTGGACAGGCTGCCTGATCTTTGAAACATAAACTGGCTCTGGAGTTGGCTCCGCTCTCGGGGAGCGGGAAGGCGAATGACCTGAAGAAGAACGTGCAGGAGAAACCCTTCCCCTTTGTCTTGGGCTCTTCACCACAGTCGTTATCGTTTCCTCTCTGATGACAGAAAGGGTTGGAATGGAGTTGGAAGGAAGACGAGACTTTTCGGGGAGCCACACTCCATCAGCACACATGCCATTGTTGGTCAAGGCACTACAGTGGGGTTAGTTGTGTGAGCACTCCAGCTTTTGGTGAAGCGTGTCATTTTGGAAGGGATACACACGCAACGCACACACCCACATGCCCATCTCCACTTACTTTCTGATCCAGGGAAAACCTCAGTGCCCTTTCCCTGAGGTGGACCCCAGCTCCATTAACCTCCTTGAGTGCATGAACACAAACCACGTATATCCAGCTGAGAAATGTTCTTCTGGATGCTGCTATATTTCATGTCCTTGTGTTGACCACCTACTATGCTACTTCGGACCCATATAGCAGTTTCACCCAAAGATTTTAAACACTCAAGGAGTTTAACCTTTTCCTGAGTATCCTTGGCTAAAATCCTGGCTTCATCAAACTCAATGGCAAAATGCCCTTTACTACAGCAAGGACAGCAGCTTCCTCTTTTTAAATAAATGTAACATATCTCTATTTTGTTTATTGAACACTCTTTTGAGACCAGAGATCTGCATTTTCACATGCAGAACAGTTACATTAAAAGGGCATTAAGCATTTGGAGACCAGGAAAAGAAAGTGAGAACATTTCCTGCACAAGCCATCTATACCAAAATGTACTTATTTTTACTCTTCATAATATCATTATTGCAGACACAGCCTGATCCTACTACCACCAGTTGACATAGGAGTACCAAACCAGTCTAGAATTTTTGACATATTCAAAGCAGTTGGGACTTCTCAGCATTCCTGGATAAATACGCAGCTTGTGTCAAAACAATCTTCTGCTACCATGCCAGTACAAACTTCGACTTTAAATGCGCTGCAGATGAAATTGGATCTAATAGCTTTAAAATCTGGGGACAGGAACACCTAAACCCAGACTTCAATGCTCTTAATTTATATATTTAACACGCAGTATTTCCTGCAGAGTTTTCAGTGGCATTTCTTACATGGAAAAAACTTGAAGGTAAAGGCAGTGTTTGCTTTGCAAGGAAGCTAATGATCTACAGTGGAGGTAGCTGGTTCAGTAGAACTAACAGGCAATGCTGATTTTGTTTGTGTGTTGAGATTCTGTTCCTACTTCCAAGAAATGGGATAAAAAAAAGAATTCACTGAAGGGTAAAGACAATGGCCTGAACTGGGATTATGAATCAAGACAAGGGTGTTTTCATTTCTTTCTCCTCACCACCCTCTAGTCACAGCCACATAGGGCTGAAAGTCACCAGCTCTGCTCTCCAGCCATCTCTGCTGTGGTTTTTTGCACTGAGATACAACGAAGGGTGGAAGGAGTCCTTGTGAAAGGACAGCCCGTTTCTCCTATTGCATTTGTGTAACCATCATGAAAGACTAATCCTCTTAGGTATACTGTAGCCTTTCTCATCTATTGGTCTCATTTTTGGAGACTGGTATTGCTTTCTTCTATGGAGATCAGATTTCTTTCCACCATCAATCTCTCCCTTTGAGGATGTGGTGAAGTCCAGGGCTGGACCATCTAGAGTGAGATTTCTTTTCTTCCAGAGCACCCTCTCTTCTACTGCTCATTCCCACTGCTTTACTCTTTCCCCTAAGTTTTCTATAGTTTTGCTATAGCCCTTTAAGGTTTATGCAGGGCCTTCATAATGGCCATGGTGCCTTTCTGAATTACGCAAAACTAAATAATTTTAGATAAAGATGAGAATGAATCCCTAGTGCTTGCACTAGACTTTGCTCTACATTGCAAGGTTAAAATGCTTTTTGAGGTCTGGGATTTCCATATATAGACATTGTTCAATCCCATCTCTAAATTATCTGTTATTTTCTGCTAGTCGTTTGAAACCTGCTGCTGTTCCTCAGCCCGCTATACGTTAAGGAGAGCTGGAATGTGCCCTTAGAGAGTTGTTCCCAAATTTTACCCCGTCACTATCCCAGTTCCAGCTGAGGTCCGCTCTAGTGGGTTCATGACCACATCCACTAGCAAAAGGAGGGGAATTTCTGTTGTTCTGAGATCCCACTCATAAATGTACCAACCTCTTTTGGGGCTGCAGCCCTTAATTTAGGAATAATTTCTTGAGCTGTCCCAAGCAATAGTCTATGGAATTTGCATGTCAGAAATTTAGAAATCAGCCTAACTGATGGTATTTTGTATTAGTTTAGTATTATTTAATCAACCAATATTAATAATGCTGCTGTTTGTGATTTGAAATCATAAAGGGAAAAGGAGGACTATTAGCTGACGGAGCAGTGATGTAAAATAAAAGCATCTCTCCAGGTGATTTACAGGCACAGAGATGTAGAAAGGTGAGATTTACTAAGCTTCAGACATGGTCTGGCTCTGAGTGATTCCTTCCTGCTCATGACTTTCTCAGGATGTTTCTGAACATGATATCCAAAAATATTTCTCTGTTTAGCTACCCCACTGGTCATTAAGACAGCACAGGCAGAAACACCTTTGTTTTCTGGTCTTTGCAGGCTAAAAAAGTCTAACGATTGGAGATTTTAACTGAACTGCTGTGCAAGAGAGAGGGGCAAAGGCAGAACCCCTTTCTGCCTTTCCTGTCTGCTCTTTGCCTATTCAAGGTGGAAGCTGCTAGGAGGGGGGATATGTCTTCTTATACGCCACTGGCTCCAAATGGGGTAAATTCATGGATCATAAGAAATAGTCGTCATAGGAAATAATAAGAGACAAAAGGTAAGCAACTCTTAACCGCATTTTAGTTGTCATTTCACAGATCCTCCTCTCCATCTAACAAAAGTAGTCAACTTTAGCATCATGTCCAAGTCAAGGACTGATTTTTAGCAATAGTACAACTCTTGAGGGAATGCATTGCCCCAAAATATCCATTTTATAGTCACCTACTACTATTAGGACATTATTTGAATAGCTTGGAGGTGCTCTGAAGGTCTACTACAGAAGGACAATATCCCCCTTCCAGCACATGAAACAATTTTATTATGTATTTGTTTATGATACTTAAAACCAAGAAGATACATTAAGGTTTTAATGGCTGATGAGCTTCTGGTCTACACATGACTGAGAAAGTACCACTTTTTGCTGCAATTAATCTTTATATGTTATAGGCACCCAGTATAAACCAGGCTCAAAGTATCCAAAAAGACCAAGTCATTAGCAGGACAAAATTTCGTATTAGAAATGTAGAGACAGAAGGGGATAAAAATGTGCATCTTCCTTCTGCTTCATCATAAAAGGCTCTCCTGAAGAATTTAAAATAGAAAGCCAGAAGAAATCACTGTAAGCTATGAGATATTTTTAAAATTTGTACATTTTTTCAAGTAGCCAGTTCTCAAAGCTGGTTTCTTTTCAACATTAAGAGTCAGACTCTACCTTCTTCAACTCTTGTGCAACTCTAGCAGTATTCAGTGGATTTTTTTCACACATGTAATATCATAAAAAACCTGACCCAGGCTGTGTCTAACACCAGTGCTGCTATTTTTTTAAAAGGGATAGTAAGATATTCTTCAGGTGGTCACTTTGCATAGCACAGAATACCATGAGATCTGGTGGAATGGGAATGAACACACTTGCATGGCCAATAAACACAAGCTTGTTATTGGATCATGCATAGGCAGCAAGGCAAAACACAAATGTTACCAAAAAAAAAAAATCAGCACTTACATGATGATGGTTTTCTTGGGCACTTTAGTCTCTTGTTCAGTGACTACAAAGAAAACAGTATGAACAGCATGGGGTTAAAGAAAGGCAAAAGCTGAAATGATTAAATTAACTTTGCTCAGTTAATCAAAATAAACTGGAGTGAAAAAAAACCAACTGTACCATCCCATCCATGCTTTCTGTGGTTATTTCCAGCAACATCTTTAGTGTTTCTGACCAAGAATGAGAATTCAGAGTGCTCTCTGAACAGTGAATGATTTAGCTTTGAAATAAAATATCTTGTGGAGAACAATAGTGCAAAATCTGTTTATTCTACCATGAGATTCTGACATTTTTGTTTGGCAGGTCAAAGCTAGAAAACAAGGTCTTTTTTTTAAAAAAAAAATTTTCTCCCCTATAATAAGCTAGTGATGGTGTGAGAAACCTGAAAATGCCTAGATCTGGAAGATCCTGGAGAGCTGAAATTCTTTAAACTATGGTTTCACTTACTAGAAAAAGAGTTTCCCCAAACACTAAACAGTTTCCAAGCTTTTGTGGACTAGATGCAAAATCCAAGCTGATAACAATGAAACTAAAATCATTATCATCAGTACAGAAAATCAGCATTAAAAATCCCCCCTAGGAAACCCAGGAGAGCCCTCTAATACACTTATGCTTACTCCATCTCTTTTTTGCTATAATTGCAATTTTTCCTGACCCTTGTCCCATAACAAGCTAGAAGTTGTTGATGCATATCAAGATCAAAAGAAAAGTAATGGTTTAATGATTTTGCAAATATTTCTTAAAATTGACATTTTTTAAAATAAGAAAGATACCCTTTGAAGAGCTAATAGAGGTTTTCAGCAGGTTCCCATCCTATCTGCTGGAATAAAATTAAGACACTGTTTGAACCGGACTGTTTTGAACACACTCTGAACTGCTGAACCTGTTTGAGATCTAGAAAAAAAACAAGAGCAAGCCCCACTTTTTATTTAATAAACTAGTAAAGTTTCTAAAAAGGCCTTAATTTAATCTCAAAGTAATTTGTCCAGCAATTGGTTTGCAATCTTCCAGCCAGCCTATAATAAATAAGCTCTGGTAATTTTCAGGTGGTATAATTGAAAGTGAACTGCAACTTCGAAATATATCTGTAAAATCACAAACAGTTCTTGCCCAGGGAACTTGTCGCGCCTGTATTATTTGTTAAATAACTTATGATTAGTGCTGATGTTTTCAATACTGTCCCAAAACTGCACTGACTGAAAATTAAAAATACA